AATATCTATACATAAATATGCAAGAGCGCTGCATGAATTGATGGGGAAGCGTACTGTCAGTCTTTTGAATAAGTTACTTTCCCCCTCTTCCATGGAACTGCTTGCTTTCTTCCTCTGGGTATGTGCTCCATGGGGGGGCTTAGAATGGAATTAGTTTCGGACAGGCTAAACAAATTTTCCCCTGAAGAGGTTTGCAGGACTTAATGAGGCAGCACTAATTCTGTTGCACCAATATCGCCTCCGTGCCTGGGCCAGTGTGGTCACACAGACTGGCCATTGATTCTGGCTCCAGACCTCTTCAAGTACTAATCAGCTTCTTTTTGGTTCAACTTTTTAGGCCTGCCAGGCCCATTGTAGGCCCATGTCACCTTAGGTCAGTAGTTATTAGTGGCAACTGTGCACAGTTTCTTTAACTACTTAGGACGGGACCAAATGAAATGCATAAGAAACCTGGAGGAGGGATTATGGATTCCACAGCCTTTTGCCAAGGCAGGCATTGGGAAGAATGTGACATGTTTGAGTAATGAGGGATGGCTGGTGTTCCTCTTTTCTGCCTCCTCTGTCTCTCTCTTTGAGCAATACTAGATTAGAGCGAGTGTAGGTAGCCCTACTTTATGGGTTGCCGCATGTTACGACCTTGTTATTCATAGAAACAAGCGCATTGACCGTTTTGATCTTACCAGGAAATGATTTGAGAGCACATCAGGGAATAGCATCAGTCTGTATGTGTGCTGTACTACATATACAGTAGTCTTAGGCTGTCTGAGAAAATATATTAAGCTGTAAATATATTAATTTTTATTTCACAAAACATTAATATAAATACATATATAGACAGTGATGGCTTAGCGATTTTCCTAAGCTCTCCTTGAGGAAGCCTACTATTTATTTATTTATCTGTTTATTTAAAAGCTGGCACAAACATACTGGTGAGAGAAATACTTTTACAACTGCATAGGATTTTTGCATAGTACTGTGTAGTGGTCATACTTCATGAAACGTTTTTTTTTCTGTCCCTGTTTGCACGTTTGAATAGATAGGAAGAGCTGTTTAGATTGGTGTAGTAAATGGAAGGTTTGCGTTCAGTATTATGTAAACTTGTTAAATTTGACTCAAGACTCCTTATAAACATTGGGTGCTTTCCAAGTAATGCAGTCAATAGGTGTTGTTAATTTTCTAAGTGGAAGGTTCACATTCTCTGTGGGGAACCCACCTAAATATGGCTTTTTCTGCTATGATTTTAATTCAGTTTATATTTATTTGCTGAGTTTAAAATATGTGGGAAAAATGTAAAATGTACGAAAACCTTTTCCCCTGTTGTGTTTTATTTCACAGTGTTATTAAGCAAACAAACAGTAATTGTACATTAAAATGTCCTGATGTGTGTTCTCTGCAGAGGATGTCGACTTTTTTTGCATACAGAAAATCAACAGAACGTGTCATTTGACCGGGGCACCCTAACCTTTGTATATGACTGTATATTACTGTCTAACCATTGCTAATATTCCATATAAGGACAGTTCATGTTCTTTTTTTCTCTTGGACGTCCAGCTTCGTGTGAGTCTTGCCACCTCTGTAACTCTTTACCTTTCATGTTATGAGTACCTCCTTATCAGGTGCTGTTACCATCACATAGTCTTTGTTGATTGTTAAAATGAGCAAATATTGAGCGTAATTGAGAAATACCTTCAAAATGTTTGCTGTTAATTTGGCACAAATGCAGGTGAATTAAGGCAAGCAGATAACATTTAAAGCAGTATGTTGCTTTCCAAACCTGAACTAGTAGCAGACCATTGGCTGTCGGTAACAGCAGTTTGTTAATAATTTAAGTGTTATCAGTTGCTTCTATCATGTTGCATCTACTGTAGTGGTAATTACATTCTGAAATAATTTGAACCTTTTAAATGTAAATTAGACAAAAAAAAAGACAACATTGCTCCCAACTTCCACTCTCATAGGGGGTTGTGTGAAGTGGGGTCCACATTGACTATACAAAGCAGTGTCGTCGCCATCTTCACTTTGTACTAAGCACGATGGGTCCAACTGTTGTGAATGTGCATTGGTACGAAGTGTTTCGAGATTGTTAATGTTCCTTTTTAACATTTTGACATTAGCCGTTTAAAATATTGGAATGCTGCATTTAATTCTTTTAATTCTTAACATTATCCACCAATCGTTAGTAATGCTGCTGGGGTCCCCACCGTCTCTTTAAGACCGGCCTGCTGAGGGTCTTGTCCCTGATCAGGCTTAGTAAGTGAAAGAGTTGCACAGTCTCAGCCGTGGAGCACCTGAACACTGCTGATTGTTTGTACTCATTTTAGATCTCATGTTAGGATTTGCATCTTTTTTGTTCCTTTACATCCCTCGGCCTCACTGTATTTACTTTAAAAGGCAAAGTATAAATGCACTTATAGAAAGGGGGGGTTGTGCAGTTTGACTTGCGAACTGAAAATACAGTACTGTGTGAAAGTCTAAAGCCATCTGAAAAAATATGCAAGCTGCTTATAGGGATAACTTGTTCTTTGTTAAACACTAGGTTTAGTATAAATGCAAATAAACCATACATTGAGATTTATTGAGATTTATGTATGTGACTGTATTAGCTTAACCATTTCTGTCAGGAATGAGGGAATTTTGGACCAATGCTGATATCTGATATTTTCATGTGCATATCTGCAGATTCCAATTCATGGACATGTTTAAACTGTAGAAATTGCAGCTAGCTTCACATGAATGAGATTTTCAAAGTAATACGTCTTGTTGCAGTTGTACAAAAACATATATAACAAAAAAGTATATGTAACATATAAAAAAATATATCTAAAATGATTTATATTGTGTTTTTTATATATATATATAATATAATATTAGAGTGTGTGTGTGTGTGTGTGTGTGTGTGTGTATGTATTTATGTATTTATGTATTTATTTATTTATTAAAAATAAATCTTCATTAAATCGAATCAGGTGCTGCTGATGTAATTTAACAAATCCATGCACTCTATGGCTGGAGTGCAGGAACCAAACCCATTTTGTAACCAGGATATTAACTGTAGTGTGTTTATTTTATTTAGATCATTACACTATTTGTATTTGTTGTAATGTTAGGATCTTTTTTTTTTTTAAACTGGGAAAATTGCGCTCACTTCTAAGAGAAATTATTTTAAACAGTTTTTGTGGCTTCCTAAGACTTTGGCTCAAAGCTATATGCCAGTGTGTCAACATGAACTGCAACTGAATAGAAATGTGATTTAAACTGTTTGTAAAAAATGTGTAATGTTTTCAGTTGTTGAACTGGTTATGTATGCATCGATTCTGTGATGTACTCTTCAGTTGTTTGAGCTTTTGTCTCTTTTCTTCAGGCCTCAGCGTGGTGGTCAGGGTGGCCATGGTTGGGACCGGGCAATGCAGGCACAAGGCTCTGCCTACCAGCATAACGTACAGAGGGGTCGTGGAGGACAAGGCAGCTACCACCAGCATCCTCCTCGCAGAGACGACCGCAGACCACAGGAGGTGATTACGCTGCCTGCTTAAATCCTCCACTCGCTGCTTTAATTGTTGTGCAATGTACATTTCTGTTCATTATCTGTATATAGTTTAATCCATAGTGAATTTAAGCACATATTGTAACAGTCGTATCATTTGCAAATAGATTTATTTAGTACTGCCTTTTATTTGTTGTCCTTTCTGATCTTTAGTTCTCACCTTGCTTTCTTGTGTTTTATTCAAGGGGTACAACTCTGGGAGAGGCTATGGCCTGCCTCCACCGACAAGACGCTACAACTGGAGCTGAATCCCTAGCCTGTAGCAGGGACGTTGTTGTTTTTTGTTTTTTGTTAATTTGTAAAAATACAAAAGTTCTTGTTTTACTAACGGAAAACACGTTCTTATGTACGTCATGTATGGTCATTTTTTTTTAAGCAAGAAGGCCTGTAAATCTTATGAAATACAAGTGAGACAAAGACCATCTTGAGCGTGATGTGGTTTTTGAATGTATATATTGGGAAGATGAATATTTCCAAACTTTTCTTTTAGATTCCCACCCTGACCTGAGCTGCTTTTCTGCAGCTCGTCTGAAGCGTCTCATTTAATCATTGGGGAAGCAAAGTTCATGTTGTGTGATACAAATCATCCTCACAGGCATTTACTTTGGTTTCATGTTGAGTTGAATATTCATAAGCTCATCCTAATGGACAATTATAAATGTAGATCTATGATTTAAAAGGCTTACTGTTTAAATGAGAATGGATTAATTAGTTCAGAGAACAGTGGTCTCTATTTAAATTCAGAAGTGGGGAAATCCTTTAATTTCTGTAAATTTTGCAGGTTTATTAACTGAACAGGTTTTTGTCTTGTAAATTTGCTTTTCTGGATTTGCTAACAGATCTAGGAGCATTTTTTACAGTTCATCTTATGGTGCACCAAAAATCTTAATCTGTTAATGTGGCGGCCAAAACTTGGTTTAGGGGTTCTATGTGCCAGTCAGGATTCTTCACATGCAAGTTCAGCTGATATTTGAAATATAACTGGAGCACAAACTGAGGTATAAATGAGCAAACCTGGTGCAGCAGTGCAGTTCAAGTATGTTTACTAAAAAAAATGCAAGATTTTTTTTTTTTTACATAACTAGTAAATTTGTGTTTGGGTGAACTGAAGCTGGTGAGGGAAATAAAATGATGTTGTGGAAAAGAAACCGGTTTCAAAAAATCCAAAACAACTTATATTTAAGATTTCAAAACTCTTTCTCTGAACGTGGCTCAGATATTGTTAAGCCAGACTACGTTTATCAACAAAACTGGGACATTTTGGTGCTAATTTACTTTATTGCTGGAGGGAAAAAGTGACCTGAGAGGACCTCAAATGAAAACCCATGAAGTTAAGAAAAATGGCGGGAAAAGAAATTTAAATTTGGCTTTGAGTTTTTGTCATTGCAGCATTTGTTATGTGAAACTTAATGCAGTTTATAATTAAAATGCTGCGGCAACCTAATTATTTTTCTGTTCACACGAGATAAAAATTAACACAATTTTCAGTAAAAAAAAAACGTTTTTGCGTTTCTGTATGAAAAAGCCGCAGATTTTCCACGTCGAGTGTTTTTATTGTTAAACTGAATCGTCATGCTGTGCAGCATCCAATTTTTAACTTACAAAAAAGAGACTTAATCGAACAGCGTGTCCAGTGTTAGATATGCAGCCTACATTTCCATCTTCTGTTAAATCTAAAAGTCCTCTTACTTAAGACCTTTTAGGAGGAGAAACGGGGCGGTGAGAAAACAGCTCTGTCCGGAACTCCACCCCAAAAACTCTCTCTTTATTTTCATATAAATCAGTCACAATTTGATGATCAGAACGAAACCCAATAGAATCCACACATTTACACGGCAGCGCTTCTTTCAGTCGTCAATTAACAAGTTTCATTTTTTTTCTCCGAGTCTTTTGAGGGCGTTTTTTCCACATCGCGCAACAAAATTCTGTTCATCGCCAAAGACAACAACAAAAAAAAAAAACAACTCCAGAATGTCCCTGAAAGCGTCCCTGAAAGCATCCCTACCACGTCCTGCCATACAGCAGGTTGGAGCTGACCATGTTGGCCGTGTACTCGGCCAGCGCGGCGTCCGTCTGCGGCAGTCCGGTCATGTGGAGGGCAGGCGGGCTGGGGGTGGTCATCTCCTCCAGGTCATCAGCAGACCCCAATGTGTCCACCGCCGGGGGCTGTTGCTGACCCCCTACCGCCCCCATCACTGCCCCGGACATGTTTTGTCCCTGGTGGGCCATGGTGGGCGCGTTGGTGCCATTCTGGCACGGCTTTCCATCCTTGACCAGCACTGGCACTGCCACCCTTCTGGGCGAGTGCTGCTGCTGCTGCTGCTGCTGCTGCTGTTGCTGTTGGGCGCAGTGGGAGCCGCCGTCCTGCTGCTGCTGCGCTGCTTTGTCCTTTGCCTGCCGCTTCATCTTGTATCTGTGGTTCTGGAACCAGATCTTCACCTGGTTGGGCGTCAGGTGGATCATGCTGGCCAGGTGCTCGCGCTCGGGTGCCGACAGGTAGCGCTGCTGCTTGAACCTGCGCTCGAGCTCGTACACCTGCGCCTGGGAGAAAAGCACGCGCCGTTTCCGTCGCGGCGCCCCGTGCAGACTGACCACGGTTTTGGTGTCCATCCCCGCCAGCGCGCCCACGGTCATCCCCGCCGAGGAGCCCATGAACCTGGAAACTAGAGAGAGAGAGAGCGCGCAGAAGGATGAGCTCAACACAAACCTGCACTCGGCAAAATAGGGTTCTGATCAGTACCAGAAACGGAACAGTAGAACCCTTTTTGGTGTATATATATATATATACAGAACTGTTCTTTTAAAAACTGTGTAGTCTCTCCATTATAGAGAAGAACGAATTAAAATGCAAATGGGTCTGTGAGTTGTCATGCCCTTTATTTATTTTAAAATAAGCATTATCTATCTATCTATCTATCTATCTATCTATCTATCTATCTATCTATCTATCTATCTAAATAAGCATTATTATTATTGTTGTTGTTGTTATTATTATTATTATTATTATTTTGTTCTGTGCCACTATTATTATTGTGCATTGATGAAAATAGTATTTTAACAAAGTTAATAGAAAAATAATTTTTGGCTTTGTTATTATTTACTTATTTGTTTTAGAATTATGTTGGTACAAATTATGCAATCTGAAAAACAATCAAGCAAACAAAAAACCAAATAAATAGATAAAACTTAATAAAAATCAGACTCCCTATTAATCCTTTTTCCCCTTAAAATTTGTCCGTATTTAAAAAAAAATAGACAAACGTTTTCCTTACAATTTATCAGAATACGCGCTATAATAATAATAATAATAATAATAATAATAATAATAACAATAAAAGTATGCAAACAGTGTTTCCCATCATCTTAAAACAAGTAACAAAAAATAAGCTCCACCTTTAAAAACATACGTGTCTAAATTTGCAGGAAATTGTCAATCCAATTTGACCAAAACACCCAATCAAACAATTTTTACAGCACTTAATTTTCCTAACATTCTTTCTGAATGTCTAAGTGGTCTTAAAGTACACTTGTATGTATCTTAGTGTGCATTAAAAGCGTTTAACCCCGCTTTGACCCTTCACTCGCCCCGTGTTAAAGCAGTGCAAGCTAAACTCACTGGTGGGGTACCGTGGCTCCGGGTTGGCTCCGTACCACGCCGTGGCCGCGGCTCCGTTGCGCACGCTCTCCTGGTAGGACGGCAGCTCGCCCACGTTGCCGATGGTGCCGTTGCAGTAGCCCCCCACCGCCGCGTGCGGGAACTGAGCCACCGCGGGTGCCATGTGGTAGGAGGTGGCCGCGGGACCGTGCTGCTGCTGCATGGCAGCCTGGCACGCGTGCTGCGCCGGCCGGTACGCGCTCTCCATGCCGGCGAACTTCTTGAAGGTCTCCTCGATGGGGCTCAGGATGTCTGTGACCGAGAAGGGGGTCGAGTGCTTGGGGCTCAGGGACATGGTGCGCTTTTGCCCCCCTCAGTAGCCGGTGCGTGAGGAGCGCTCGGAGATGCAGGAGCGCCGTGGAGAGGGAGGCGAGCTCGGACGCTCTTATCTCAGCTCCATTGGAGCCTCGCGCAAAAGCGGGGAGTTTACGACAAACAGGAGGCGGAGCCACGAGCCCCACGCGAAGCCAACAATGACCATTCAGAGGGTTTTTTTTTTCTTTACACCAACATAATTGAGAAAAAAATGTTACATACCAACCAAGATGGGTTAAGGTGCAATATTTCGGGGGTCCTGTTTTGAACATCAGAGTGGGGTCACTTTTATGTTGATTAACTAATGGAGCAGGATGACTGGAAAACTCACCTGGGCTTCATCGGTCCATTCAAATGGACTAAACAAAGCACGCCTTTAGTAGTTTAAATTTCCACCGTTGATGGTGCCAATTTAAAAGATCACAGAAATGAGGGCATTAGATTTTAAATAATTAGGCAAGATTTTGCAGTAAACTGTTAGAAATAAAGGTTCTGTTCAGGTACATTTTTTATTCATCAAGGTACAAACAGTGTAAATATTCCCTCAAAGGTACGACAGTGGTTTTAAGGTCCTTCTGTGTACCTTAAATAAGCTTTTCCAGTGGAAAAGTATATATTTATATGTTTTGATAACCTAATGTTTTAAAGCAGAACAATAAAATAAAAAGCCCGGAGACGAGACGGGGTGTGTGGAGTCAGTACAACTTAGAAAATATCGTTTCAATTGATTATGATACAATTATGTTCCCCGACTAAAGGTACCACCACAGTGACGGCTTAGTACCTTTATTTCCCAGAGTGTACGATGAGCATAGTTTTGTCCAGGTAGAGTATATAAACGAAGCAAACACAGTGTGAACACAGCAAAACCGGTTCCAGTGTACATTTAAGATGACCTACCTTCCCTTTTTAATTTTTTCAGTTTTTACTTTTGCCGATTCAAAAATTTAGATCGTTTTGTTGTTTCACTGTCATTTTTAAACACCCTCAGAAATATTTAGTTCATTGAAAGTCTAGTAGTAATCGAGACAGATTGGGGAGGATTGATGGGACTAATCGAGGTGGTTTTTTTACCAAAGAAGAAAAGTAATGAGAACACAAAATGTGCAAATTCATTTTGTTTCGTTTTTAACCTAAACTCTGCGAACAGAGCTGCTACATACGCTCTTAAAATGTAGTTTTGATGTCATAGAAGAACCTCTAAAGAACCATATTTGAAAGGGTCTTGTGAGTGAATCTTCTCAGAATGAAAAGGTTCCAGTACCAATTCATACATTTACAATGAACCATCCACTGAAAGGTTCTTTTGGGGGCCAGGGGTGGTTCCTTTTTGGCATTAAGTAAGAAACCCTTTTTAGCACCTTCATTTTAAAACCCTTTGGGTGCTTCATAGAACCATCATTTAAACACACAAATGGTTCTTTGTCATGGTTCCATATAGCCATGGCCTTTACTGAAGAACCCTCGAAGAACCCTTGTAGTGGAAAATAAATAAACAAGTCAATAACAATGAAATGCTGCCCCTGTAGAAGAGCACGGGTGCCTGAACGAACACGAGGTTACAGTGTTTCTAAGCCCAGCCAGCAGTGCAGGTTCTCCACATGCTAATCGGGGAGCATCTTAACCTGACGGAGCATGAAGTCAGAGGGCATGGCCTGGCCACAAAACTCAGCTGAGCTCGGACAGCGCGGCAGTCAGCGAGGAGCAGCAGAAGACGAGGAGAAAGCCGTCCTCACTGATATCTCCTCTGACACCACTGAGCTCTAAAGAACGATCAGTTCCTCTGGTTCCTCTAATTTGTTTTCCTGGCTCTGTTTCATAGCTGTGTTGGATCTCTGAGGAGACGCGTTGTGTATATTCCAGGTAAAAAGCCTTTTCTTTATATTCCCATTGTTGTGAAAATGTGTTATGTATGTAGTTGTACTACCACGGCTGGTCTTTCTTGGAGCTTGACCACAGCTTTGAGAGCGACAGATACTTTGCAGCATTTTCCATCACCATCGTTTGTTATTCCATACGTCTGTTAAACATAATAATAATAATAATAATAAAGCAATCTAAGGATGTCCTTCTAGGCAGACTGTATTGTGCTCAGACGGTTGTGGTCATCTTAGGGTCAGCTTATTGATTAACATATTAATTACACAAATTAACATACTAATTAGGCAATTTAAGAACAGCACAGACAGATGAGTGTGCCTGCTTTCCTAACAATTCCATTCCATTTTCTATCAAGCTTTGATACAATATATATATATATATATATATATATATATATATATATATATATATATATATATATATAAAGCACACTTCATCACACCGTAGCATAATGAACAGCGTTTAGTGTTAAAGCAATTCTAACAAACTATCAACCAGCTTTAAAACAGAAGCTACTGGATAGCGAGGTGAAACAGGAGCAGGCCTAAAATCTGTAACTGTGAGACAGGACTGGGGACGTCGGCACAGTGAGTTTAGGCGTATGCAGTTCTGTCTGTGAGCTAAGACTGGACCATTAGAAGTCTGCAGAGGTGCAGCAATGGGCAGCCAAGCGTTTAATTAAAAAAATTTAAACAGTAGAAAGCCCAAATGCCCAAATCTCTCCCTCTCCTTCTCTCTCTGAGCATGGCAAAAAAATGGGTGAAAACAGAGCAGTAAGTTTAGGCAACACAGAAAAAAAATAATTTAAATATGAATGACTGAATAAATGAAGTAATAAATAAATGAATAAATAAAAGTTTTCAAAGCAATAGTAATCAAGTATATATATATATATATATATATATATATATATATATACATACAATCAAATTAATGAATGAATAAATAAAAGTTTACAAAGCATCACTTGATTTCTATTGCTTTGTAAAGTTTTATTTATTCATTCATTCATTAATTTGATTGTGCATATATATATATATATTTATATATATATATATATATATATATATATATATATATATATATACGCGCACACACACACACACACACGTGCATGTTTATAATCACTCTTGGCACAAGGAGTTCTCGATAACCGATAACATCTTGACATTTTAGTGCTATATGGGACCATTTTTAAAAAACATTTTTTAAAAGAACATATACAACCGTATCCCCATCATTGTGAAGAACCAGTTAACTCAAATGGTTTGTTGAGCTAACATGGTTCTATATATGACCATTGTCTTTATAAAAGATCCTTTAAAGAACCTCCTTTTTTTAAAGGTGATGTCATTTTTTAGAAAAAAAGAAAGAAAATGTTATTCATCTCTATTATTATTATTATTATTATTATTATTATTATTATTATTAAGCACTGCTCTGTTCTGTAAAGCCGCTTCCTTCTGCGCGCTTACTGCGCTCCATTAGATCGTTTGATTGATCGATTTTGTCTGAATTCTTCTCATTACTTCTCATTCCTCTTTGTGCGGTCCTCTGTGCAGAGTGTGTGGAGGTGGAGAGAGCAGCCAGGTGTGGATGTGTGCAGAGTGCAGCTACCTTCCCCTGATGGGGTGAAAGGTCCAGCCAGCCCACTTGAGCGGCCCTTTTCTTCAGCGCCTGCCTTCCTTCCTCCCGCAATTACTGTCCTTTAAGGATGGAGATGATGCTAATGGAGGCGAGGCGCTGCGAGGAACGCCGGGAGATTTATTTTTTGGGGGGAATCGGATTAAATCAGAATAAAGCAGCGGTGCAGCTCAGAGCTGATGGGCTGAACGGAGAATAATGATACAGAGTTTAAGCCTTTCTCGGTGATCTCAGCGCGGCGCCCGAGCGCAGGTAAGACCGCAGCGCACTTTAACACCTGAACTTCACAGGACGATGGATTCAATCTTAATACTGAGCCTGAATGTTGAACTAACATGAGTTTTATGTTCAATTAAAAAATTGAAACCACTGAAGTTGTGATTCATTGAGACTTTTTATTGGTCTAAATTACAGAACTGCGTTTGAACTCTAGTTTAACGTAACAGCAAAGACAAAAAAATCACATTTTTAGCTGCTGAAGTGAAGAATTAGTGGATCTTTTTTTTATAAGGGGGAACACTTGGATGTGGTTAATAAACAAGCAGGAGAAATGAGGCGTGCATGGTTTGATCGTAGGATGTAAAATTATCTACATTTTTCCTGTTGCTCTAAGTTATTCTACTCATTTAAGAAGTTGATTTAAGTGTTTTTGAAGCTCGAACTGATGTAAAACGTAAATTTGATTTGCGCTGTTTAATTTTAATATTAATTCGAATTGAATAAAACTACCCTCTAAAAAAGATTGTTCTTCAAAAGTTTTTTAGTAAAGAAAATGGTTCTATATAGAACTATGAACACTCAAAGAACCCTTTGCATGATTAAATAGTTCTTTGCAGGGTTAAATGGTTCTTCAGACTGATAGAGAATGTGCTGTAAATCCTTTTGAAAAGGGTTCTATATAGCACCCAAAAGGTTCTTATATTGTTAAGGTGTCGAGCTTGTAACAATAGAAGAACGCTTTTGGGTGCTATATAGAACCCTTTAAAAAAAGGTTGTATATAGAACTGTCTATAGAACATTCATGAACATTTTCCATCAATCCGAAGAACTCTTTCATGATGCAAAGAACCATTTAGTCAAGCAAAGAGTTCATGGTATATATAGAATCATTGTTTTTTTTTTTTTACTAAAGAAGGGTTCTAAATAGCACCAAAGGGGTTCTATATAGTACCAAAGCCTGTAATAAAGGAACCCTTTTTGGTGCTATACAAAACTCTTTTTTGTAGAACCGTCTTTTTTAAGTGTGTAGTTTAAGTACTTGCAACCACACGAAGTCATTTTTTTTAGCTTGAAGTTTTAAAGATAAACCTTTTTGTACATATTTTCCCCCAGTTTGTCTAACAAAATAAGCCGCAGAGTTTTATTACGCTCCATTTTTTGATGGCACTTCGAATTAAAGGAGAAAATTTCACAGCGTTCACATTTCCTTGAGCTACCACCCGAAAATACAGCATTTAGGAC